GTCGGCGCAAGCGAGAGTTCGTACATCGTAATCGATTCTTAAACGTCTCCAATGGAAGCATATACCTGAAGCAAAGGGGTCGTGTCAGCTCCGACGAACGTGCACGTTGAGCAACGGTGTCTTCCAGAGGCATCATTACGATCCATACAACCAGGTCATCTCCAGACATGGATGTTCACACTCCGGAAAACCTGAGCAGGAAGGTGCGGATTCACCGTCAGAAGTCGGTGCGGTGCGTCTGATTCGTGGCCGAGTCAGCAGGCAGATAACGATCCCCGTTCGTGGCGTACTACTACTGGCGTAGCGCTGGCCGGCGAACCTCCGATGCTAAATTGTCACCGCTCAATTACTGCTTTCCGCATCAACGAACGGAACGGATAACACCGACAGGTGTTAATCAGTTCCGACTTCCTCCTGGGGCGTGCGGGTGCGGACACGCGTCGCGAACGGACGGCGATCCACGAGCGAGCTCACACCGAAACGGAGCGACGTTCACAGCTGCGCATTAATGGCGGCATCGACTCTTTCCAGGAAATCGGGTACTAGCTGGATAGAGGTGCATATCCACAGCCGCAGTTACTCGTGGTATCGCCGAGCGAAATCTAAAAAAAGGGAAAGAAAAGCTAACGCGACGCTGGGCGGAGGTTTTGCAGTCCAACCCTCGGATTCGCCCGCCTCTCCGATGGAGCCCCGCCTTCTCCAGCCTATAAATTGGTGCCCGCTCCGCCTCCATTTCATCCTCCCTCTCTCTCTCTCATCGTCCTCCTCCGCGTTCTCTCGTCTCCATCTGCCTCTCTTTCTGCCACCACAGAGAACTCTTCTTGGAGAGCCTGTGAATCTCGAGAGGCATTGAGTCCGTCTTGAGTTGTTGTTAGTGTCGCCTTGGTCTTTCGTTTTTGGCTTTCGTGCCGATCAACTCCGGTGCTGTTCGGCGGCAGTCGCGATGGCCGGCGGCGCGGTTGTGAACACCGGCGGGGGGAAGGACTACCCCGGCAAGCTCACCATGTTCGTGCTCTTCGCCTGCATCGTCGCCGCCACCGGCGGCCTCATCTTCGGATACGACATAGGCATCTCCGGTACGTCCGGCCCCTTTTAATCTACTCCCGTCCATGGCAACCGCTCTATTTTGTAATCTTCATCATGATTACAGAGAAGTGACGCTCGACATGCTCAATTTTGTTCGCACCCATCGTTTCAAACTAGAAAGTTTGTTTGCATCCGGCATGCTGTGTTGTTCCACCGTCCACCTACCCACATGCATAATTTTCGGCCTCGTTTATACACATGGAAACAAATCTCTGATATTCCGTTTCATTTCTTTATCCCACTACTCGCCGGGTTCTTGTGAAGCCGCCATGAATCTTTTCATGTATTTCTCACCTGGCATTCTTTCCAATAAACAAACTCTAATACTCCTAGTATTTCTTTCTCTAGAGAAGATGTGCATGCAGAAACTTTAAAGCGAAATCACCAACAAAGGAAACTAATTAACTCTTTGCAATGGCGTTCGTCCACCAGGTGGCGTGACCTCGATGAACCCCTTCCTGATGAAGTTCTTCCCGGGCGTGTACCACCAGGAGCAGGAGGCGGAGCGGAACCAGAGCAACCAGTACTGCAAGTTCGACAGCCAGCTGCTCACCATGTTCACCTCCTCGCTCTACCTCGCCGCGCTCGTCGCCTCCTTCTTCGCCGCCACCGTCACCCGCGTCGCCGGCCGCAAGTGGTCCATGTTCGCCGGCGGGGTCACCTTCCTCGTCGGCGCCGCGCTCAACGGCGCCGCCAAGAACGTCCTCATGCTCATCCTCGGACGCGTCCTGCTCGGCATCGGGGTCGGCTTCGCCAACCAGGTATACTTCTGTCGCCACTGTTTCTTTGACTTTGTTTGTGACGTTTCTTTGACTCTCCAGTTTTCTTTTGTTATTGACTCTCTTCTGTAGCAAAAAATTCAGACCTTGCTTTGGAGTGACTTCTTTTTTACAGTATGGCTGACGATGTTTTTTACTGCTTGCATTGGACAGTCGGTGCCGGTGTACCTGTCGGAGATGGCGCCGGCGAGGCTGCGGGGGATGCTCAACATCGGGTTCCAGCTGATGGTCACCATCGGCATCCTGTGCGCGAACCTGATCAACTACGGGACGGCCAAGATCAAGGGCGGGTGGGGCTGGCGCGTGAGCCTCGCGCTGGCCGCGGTGCCCGCCGGAATCATCGCCATCGGCGCGCTCTTCCTCCCCGACACCCCCAACTCCCTCATCGACCGCGGCTACACCGAGGACGCCAAGAAGATGCTCCGGCGCGTGCGCGGCACGGACGACGTGGAGGAGGAGTACAGCGACCTGGTGGCCGCTAGCGAGGAGTCCAAGCTGGTGAGCCACCCGTGGCGCAACATCCTCCAGCGCCGCTACCGGCCGCAGCTCACCTTCGCGATCGCCATACCCTTCTTCCAGCAGCTCACGGGCATCAACGTGATCATGTTCTACGCGCCCGTGCTGTTCAAGACGCTGGGGTTCGCGGACGACGCGTCCCTCATGTCCGCCGTCATCACCGGCCTCGTCAACGTCTTCGCCACCTTCGTGTCCATCGTGACCGTGGACCGGCTGGGCCGGCGCAAGCTGTTCCTGCAGGGCGGCACCCAGATGCTGGCCTGCCAGATCGTGGTGGGCAGCCTGATCGGCGCCAAGTTCGGGTTCACCGGCGTGGCCGACATCCCCAAGGGGTACGCGGCGTTCGTGGTGCTCTTCATCTGCGCGTACGTGGCCGGGTTCGCGTGGTCCTGGGGCCCGCTGGGGTGGCTCGTCCCCAGCGAGATCTTCCCGCTGGAGATCAGGTCGGCGGGGCAGAGCATCACGGTGTCGATGAACATGCTGTGCACCTTCATCATCGCGCAGGCGTTCCTCCCCATGCTCTGCCGCTTCAAGTTCATGCTCTTCTTCTTCTTCGGCGCGTGGGTGGTGGTCATGACCCTCTTCGTCGCCTTCTTCCTGCCGGAGACCAAGAACGTGCCCATCGAGGAGATGGTGCTCGTGTGGAAGGCGCACTGGTACTGGGGCCGCTTCATCCGCGACGAGGACGTGCACGTCGGCGGCGCCGACGTCGAGATGCGCTCCAACGGCAAGCTCCAGGCTGCCAAGCTCCCGTGACGTCGTCGCCGGCCGGCCAATAAGCCGTTACCATCCGAGGCCGTTCGAGGACTTTTTGAGTCCTCGTCTGATTTTTCATTTGTCTTCTGTATTATAATCGCCATACTACCTAGGATGATGACGAACAATCGGTGCGTCACTAATCATTCCCAGTTTCCTTTTCTCTTTATTAAGTTTGGGCTCCTTTGTGCCCGGATATATATACTCTTGTGCCGTGGTGGCTTTGGATCAAAGATGAATATAGATGCTGGTTGGATGAACTTGCTGTCTCTGTGCGCTCTGAGTTAACATGATTTGTACGCATCATGAGCAATGTGGCATGCAATTCTTGGTTTGTAGAGAAACTGCAAATTGCAGCATCTCTCATCTAATCTAGGGATGTTTGCCCACTACTAGTACAATGCTGGTTAGAGCATCTACAATGTACAATGCTTACGGAGGCGCTTGAGAAAGAATAAATAAACGATTTTCTACTTAAGGCCCTCTCCCTCAACACTAGTAGCTGCTAATTAAGGCGCTATTAAACTATATGAAAAACGGCGCTATTAAACTGCAAAATCCGCGCTATTTCTCTTTGGTGTGTTAAGTTGGTACTTCTCTAGTTTCTTAGCCGCTGCAAATCTAGGTCGTTTTGTTAGATGGAGTGAAATGCATAAAATCATCACAGTTGTGTCGTTATTAGCAAAAAAAGGACTACTATGATTTTCAAGCAAAATGCATCAACCGCAACACTAAACATTGACAAAACGCACTGAAAACCGCTTGCCATTGAAATTGACATGGCAAAACGCTAAAGTATAGCATGTCTGTCGTTAACGGCTTGTCACAACTGACCTCTCAACCCTGTAAAAAAGCAACCCACCTCTCGCTGAAGTTGCCCCAAGTAGGCGGCCGCCATGGCCGCGATCTCGCCACGGTGCCGGGATCGAGCGACCCCTCTGCTGCACCCGCGGCTCCTCTGGTCGTGTCCCAGCCGGGTGGGCTCGTGCATGCCCCCACACCGAAGCGCGTGTAGGCCAATGGCAAGGAGCTGCTCAAGGACGCATATTAGGTTCGGTGCATTTTGTTAATTTTTAGCGTTGCCCGTTCGGTGCATTTTGCAACGAGACCCAAGAGTGATGTTTTTTTTGCTAATGATGACATAATTATGATGGTTTATGCATTTCATTATGTTAGATGGGTCGTTGGTTGTAGCCTTATCCTGTACTTTGTGAGACTCTATACTGTATTGGATGATTAAAAGAATGGCGGCCATTTTATTAAACACTTTCACTTCTGCGACACTGACTTTTTTTGCATTGATACCATGCCTAAATATTTGATTTGATGGTGGTATTGCTGATAAGTAGAAATCTTAACCTAGCATCCTGTTCCTATCACCCCGCGTTGTAGATGGCCTTTTATGCAAGGAGCCTTGATCCAATTACTTGCATATCGGTTGTTTTATCCATTTTTGTTTGGGTCATAAAGGAATCTTCAATACGGCTCATTAAATAGCTCACAAATGTTCGGAACGGACACTTTTAGGTTTTCAACGTGGCCTAGAATCAAGCCCGACCGATCCCGAAGCCAGTGTTTTTCCGCAAACCTACCCTCCTCATATGGAGCACTTTGTGGGCAATTCATATGGACAACTAGAGCATGTGTGAGAATAAACTGAATTTAAATTTGAAATATTGTTGCATTAGAATATTTACCTTTAGACTCTTGGTGCATTGAAATATTCAATATAGAAGAAAAATGAAAGGGCCATCTTTTTTTTTTGAGGGAAAAAGCAGGTGTACTGCTATTGCATTTCAGGAGAGGAGCAATTAAGATTCAGTTACAGAGTTGGGGATTGGGGCTCCCCCAGGCCACAAGATTAATCATGAAAATAAAGAACCTAATCTGGCTCGGGTTCCGGCTCGTTTTCGCCAAAGACGCTCCAGGTGATGCGGGCATTAGCAATAGCCACCTCCTGCTTGAGAAGGCAGAACACCTGGTCAGCATTGCAGGTTGCATTATCGAAGACCCTTCGGTTCTGTTCCTTCCATATGTTCCAACAACCGTAGATTGCCACAGCGAGATGGTGAGGAGGCAGGCCGCAAACCGTGTCATACACCATGTCGACGGAGAGTCGCCAGATGCCACAGGCAGTATGAGCGCAGGCTGGGCAATCCAATCAGCGATTAGGAACCAAACCTCGCGCGCGAAGATGCAGTGCAAAAGGAGGTGGGCGGGGGACTCGATGTCTTGGTCGCAAAGGTTACATGCGCCGTTGTTTGGCAGTCCGCGCTTGTGCATGTTGTCGTTTGTGAGGATCCTCTCGTTCAACCACAACCACATGAAAAATTTGCATTTAGGCTCCACTTTGGCAGACCAAATCTTCTTGAGGTTGATTGATGTGTACGTGCCAACGAACTGTTGCAGGTAAGCCGATTTTGCTGAATACACAGAATCTGGAGTCCACCGCCAGGTAATAGAATCCTCTTCATTAGACAGATGCACGTCACGAATACGCAGCCAAAGATCGACAAACTGACGTAGTTGAGCCTCCGAAGAGATACGCTGAAACCCAGTCATCCATTTGTCATAAGCAATCCCTGCAGCAACTGTGATGGATTTCTTGCGGCTAAGCTTGAACAGATCCGGAGCTAACTCTTTTGGGGCTTGACCCTGAAGCCAGCAAGAGGACCAGAAGCTGGCAGTTTCGCCATTGCCGATGGAGATGACCGTGGAAGCGTTGAACAGAGCAGCATCCATGGAATCACAGGGGATATTGGAGCCAATCCAAGGCCACTTCCTGTCGGTCCATTGAAGCCACAGCCATCGCAGTCGCAGAGCCCGCCCAAAGGAGTGCAGATCAATGATGCCCAGCCCCCCCCCCCCAAAAAAAAAGTTTGGGGCGACAAACTTTCCTCCAACTGACTAGGCAGGTGGCACGGCTGGCATCCGGGTCAGCTTTCCAAAGAAAGTTCCTTCTCATCTTATCGATCTGCTTAATGGCCCATCGTCCAACTTTGAAGATGGAGAGAAGATATATGGGAATGGCTGAAAGGACCGAATCAATGAGAGTGAGCCGAGCAGCATACGATAAGAGTTTGCCTCTCCATCTCTGAAGCTTAGCGGCTATTTTATCAAGGAGTGGTTGAAGGTCAGCTTTGGAAATAGCACGGTAATGGAGCGGCAGGCCCAAGTAGACACAAGGAAAGGACTTGATAAGTACTGGGAAGGATTGCAGCAGTGTAGGAACATGAAGGTGCTCACAGCGGATAGGGTAGAACGCACACTTGTTGGTGTTAGCATGCAGACCCGAGGCTTTGCCAAAGCAAGTGAGGATCAATTTGACCAACAGGACATCTAGAGGTGAAGGGTGAATGAAAAGGGAAGCATCATCGGCGTACAGGCTGACTCGAAGTTTGGAGGGAGGCAGATCAAGGGGGGTAAGCAGGCCCAAATCGGAAGCTTCTTGGAAGATCCAATGCAGCGGGGCTATTGCTATAGTGAAGAGCATAGGAGATAAAGGGTCGCCCTGGCGAAGGCCCTGATGGTGGATGAATCTGTCCCCAAGCTGACCATTAACAAGAATTTTGGAAGATGCTGAACTCCATAAAAGTGATACCATGTCTCTCCAACGGTGACCAAAACCTAGGTGTTGGAGGAGATCTAGCAGAAAACTCCACGAAACCGAGTCAAAAGCGCCAGCAATGTCAAGTTTGAGGAATAAGGCTGGGTTGCGATTGCAGTGAAAAGAGGTGATGGAGTTGCGAACATATAGGAAATTGTCTTGGATGTTCCTCTTTTTAATGAAAGCACTCTGTGAGTGGGGAATGATTTCTTGTAGGTGTGGGGCAAGTCTGATGGCCAGGGCCTTACAGATGATTTTAGAAACAGAGTGCATGAGACTTATAGGCCGGAAATCCTTCACCTTGAAAGCGGATTCAGATTTTGGCAGGAGGGTGATGTGTGCTGAGTTAAGCAGGTGTAGTCGATTCGCCCTGAGCCCATAAAATTGGTGAATGGCCCTCATAAGGTCCCCCTTGATCGTGGCTCAACACTTTTTGAAGAAATCAGTGGTGAATCCGTCCGGTCCAGGAGCCTTATCCGTCGGCAATGCCATAACAGCATCATTGATCTCGTCTTCGGTGAAGGGTGTATCCAGCTCAGAGAGATCGAACGTTGGAATGCCGAGGGCATTCCAATTAAGGGAGCAGCCAGTTGGAGTAACCGAGCCAGAGGAGTTCTTGAAGTGCTGCAGGAGAAGTCGCTGCTTGTCCTCTTGTAAAGAGAAGGTTTGTCCCTCAGATTCCAAAACCGGGATGAAATTTTTCCGTCTTCTCCCATTTGCCCTGATATGGAACAACTTGGAGTTGGCATCTCCGTGCTTGAGCCAGACCAATCTTGATCGTTGCCTTATGCGGATGCGATTCACCGCAGCCAAACCTAGAACCTTGTGCCGGAGGTGCTGTCTCAGCTGAATTTCAGCCAGGGTGAGGTCCCTGAGATCTTAAGCATAGTCCAGACCGTAGATCACCTGATTAGCGATCTCAGTTAGTAGCTTGATGTTCCCAACTCTTGTCCTGCTCCAAAGGCGCAGAGCTTTACCTAACCTTGATAACTTAATGTGCAGGACACGCATGGCATCGCTATTGTTTACTGGCTTCGCCCAGTAGTTGGCGACAAGATCCTGGAATCCATGGAGGCGCAACCAGTATTGCTCAAATTTGAAACCTCGATATCTTTGATGCCGAACTTGCCTGGTTAGAACAAAGGCACAATGATCAGACACGGACGAAGTGAAAGCAGATAGATGGCACTGAGGGAACATGATATTCCAGTCAGCTGAGCAGAAAGCGTGGTCGATCTTTGTTCTAGTTTGTTGCTGGCAGCTGCTGGTCCAGATGAAGCGCCGGCCATGAAGGCGCAATTCAGACAGCTCCAGTGAGTTTACGGCAGCTCGGAAGGAGTTCACCAGGCGTCGGTTGATATTGGAGTTGCTCTTGTCTGATGCCCGATACAAC